TGACTGAGATATGTGAAGCATCAGAAGAAATTAAAGCTGGAAAGATCATGACTCGATGTATTTTTTAAGAATATAATCTTTTAATTTGGGATATAGCAAATGCTACATTTGTGAACTTTTAATGATTTAAAACTTTTTTTTTTTTTAGGTTTTTGCCATAGGGTGTGTGTCAACTTGTAGGAGAGAAACAGAATGGGAAAGAGAAATCTGTAGTCCCTTCTCCATTCTCTTAGGATTTGGGGCATGCATGTACATACACCCAGCGTGATTTTTTAGCTGCTGGTTTTGGGGCTCAAACCTTAGTCAGCCATGTGGGAGTCCAGCTCCTTAACTACTACACTACACTTGCTGACCCCCTGATTTTAAATTTTAAGAGTTAAGATGAATGAACAGCCAATATTAACTAGAATATTTGGAAAGAACCACTTGTGCTTAGTTGGACAGCTTTTTGTGTGTACATGAAGGGGGTATTACTTGTAAATAAGTTATTTTTAATATATATCGGATCATCAGAAAAGTCATGATATATTTTTCTGTGTAGGTGCACGTGCCCTAAGGCAGAAACCTTGAAAAAAAATAAATAAAACAAAACAGGGACTGGCAGTTAGCGTAATGGCTATGTCTCTGGACTCCCACGTAGTCGACTGCGGTTCGCGTCCCAGACCCAGTGGCTTAAAACTCACGCCGGGCGCGTGTGTGTGCATGTCCAAGATCCCGAGATGAGAATGGAGGAGAAGGGATTGTGGTGTGGCCATCCCCCCTGGGGGGTGATTTCTTGTTTTCTGTCTCTCTGTCTGTCTCTGTCTGGCAAGTGCACGTGCCCTAAAGCAAAAAAAAAAACAAACAAAAACAAACAAACAAAAACCTCTCTAAAACAAAACAAAAAATTGTTGTTATGTTTGGCTTTTGATTTTAATTTAAAGTAAAAAGTACTATGTCTGTTACTAACCCCCTCTAGTTTTTATTTTCTTTAAACTTTCTGCCACAAATATACTTAACCTTTAAAATCAAATAAGCAGTGGGTGCTGGCAGGTGGCATGGTGGTTAAGGTTGCTAAACTCCACATGTCCAGTCACAGTTCAAGTCCTGGATTTAGCAGCTTGCTTTCTCACTTTCCCTTTCTCTCTTTCTCTCTCTCTCCTCCTCTGTCCCTCTCTGGTCAAGTTAAATAAAGTAAATAAAATGACTCTTTAAAAAATCAAATAAGCAGGGATTTATGTGACTTCTTAATAATTTTTCATATATTACTATATAGTTTTTGTATTTTACTTTCAATAATACTAATTAAGTAACCTGATCATAACTCTTTTTTGCTCCATTTTCCCTAAAGACTGGCACTATTGTTCCCTTTACACATTCTTCCTATTTTTGTCTAGATAATTATTTACAGGGATGATCATTTCCGCAGCCACTAAGAAAATCTGCACATTCCTCACATAAACACTTGGATAATAAAAATTTATTTTTAGTTTTTTTTGGAAAAGGATTATTTTTTAACTTTCATTTATTATTCATTTACTTATTTTGATTTGGTCAGAGAGGGACAAAGAGAGAGACAGAGAGGAAGGGAGGGAAAGTGAGAAAGCAAGCTTCCAGGTCCGGGACTTGAACCTTGGTCGGCCATGTGGGAGTCCAGTGCCCTTAGCTGCCACGCTACCTGCTAGCCCCTTATTTTAGTTTTTTTAAAGAATGATTTTATTGAGGGACTGGAAGGTGGGGTGATGGTTAAGGTACTGGACTCCCCCCCACATGGCCATCTACTGTTCAAGTCTCGGACCTGGTGGCTTTTCTTTCTCTCTCCTACTCTCGTCAAATTAAAAAATAATAACAAATAAAAATACATATTTTTTTATAAAAAATTATTTTATTGGGACCAGCAGATGGCGGAGAGGTTATGTTGCTGGACTCCCACATGACCCACCATGGTTAGAGTCCCAGTCCTGGAAACTTGAAACTCACACCAGGCGCATGTGTGTGCATGTCCAAAATCCCAGAAGGAGAATGGAAGAGAAAGGATTGTGGTGTGACAGTCCCCCCAGAGTGGGGGTGATTTCTTGCTCTCACTCTCTGTCTCTCTAGCGAGTACATATGCCTTATAGCAAAAATCTCTAAAAAAAATTTTAATTGATTTGGTGGCATAGTGGTTGAGGCTTCAGACACCCAAATGACCAACCGCAGTTCAAGTCTTTGTCCTGGCAGCTTGCTTTTTCACTGTCTCTCTGTGTTTCTGCCTATCTCTGGTGAGTCCATGTGCACAGTGGCAAATTAAAGAAATAGTAATGATAAATAAAATTAAAATAATTTTAAAAAGAATTATTTCATTTAATTTCAATTAAAGAATTATTTTATTTCATTCATCATCTTTTTTTTATTTGACCAGAGAGAGAGAGTGAAAGGGAAAGTGAGAAAGCAAGCTGCCAGGTCTGGGACTTGAACCACGGTCGATCATGTGGGAGTCCAACACCTCAACCACCACGTCACCTGCTGGCCCCTATTATTATTATTTAAAATTTTGACCAGAGAGAGAGAAAGAGGGAAAGTGAGAGAGCGGGCTGCCAGGTCCAGGACTCAAACCATGGTCAGCCATGTGGGAATTTAACACCTTAACCACCACGCCACATGCTAGCCTGGAGTGAGAAAAATTTAATGTACAGTGAATATGTAATGGATTTTCAACCCTAAGTGTAGAGTAGAGGATTTTTCAGTCTGAAAAAATAAATAGAAAAGTGAAACATCACCTAAGTAATGTGTATTTTAAAAGTTTATTCATGTAGCTTTTCCATGAGCAAGAGAGAGAGACAACACCCTAAAAGGGTGCTGACGTTGCAGTCCAACCCCATATTCTGCTGGCCCAGGTTATGGGCAAGTACATAGCTGAGTATTCAAGGAAATCTCTAGACAAACCCCAAATCTTCCCATGTGGATCAGCCTTGTAGAGCTTAGTATCTGCATTTTACCTCTGTGTCACAGTAGTACTATATACTTAAAAAAAATTTTTTTTAACTTTCTTTTACTTAATTATTTATTTTAATTTGACCAGAAAGGGACAGAGAGAGAGAGAGAGTGAGAAAGCAAACCACCAGGTCTCTACACTACCTGCCGGTCACAGTACTGTGTACTTTTAATAATGATCAGATTGATCCATTACATGATTGTATCTATTTGCAATAAGAATATTTGTATAGGGGACCAGTAGATGGTGTGGTGGTTAAGGTGCTGGACTCTCCCACATGGCCAATGGTGATTCGAGTCTTGGACCTGATGGCTTGCTTTCTCACTTTCCATCTCTCTCTATCTGTCTTTCTCTCTGGTCAAATTAAAATAAATAAATGAATAAATACAAAATTAAATATAAATAATTCTTAAAAGAAAAAAAAATTGTATAGGGACCAGGAAGTGGTTAAGGGTGCTGGAGTCTCACATGGGCAACTGTGGTTAGAGTCCTGGACCTGGCAGCTTGCTTTCTCACTTTCCCTCTCTCCCTCTCTGGTCAAATTAAAATAAATTAAATAAATAAAGTTACATAGAATAATTCTTTTTTAAAAAAACTCATATTTAGTGGTTATTAATAATTTGCCAAATATTTGAGTCATTTATAAAACTTTACAAAGCTGCAAGTGTGTAAATATATGCTCATTTTACCAAAGCTTAGTCAGACTAGACTGGTTTGTTACTTAAAGTCCTAAATCAAAATTATATTTCCTTTCTTATTAAGCTGAAATATTAAAGTTGAGGTGAATTCTCGCTTTCAACTTTACTACTGATTTTTTTTGGGGTTTATGTGAATTTTTTTTTCTTCAGAGATTTTTGTAGGGCACATTCACTTGCTGGAAAGACAGAGAGACAGAAAGGAAGAAATTATACCCCAGAGGGGATGGCCACGTTACATTTCCTTCTCCGTTCTCCTCTTGGGATCTTGGACCTGCACACACAAGTGTCTGCACTCACACTCACAGTGTCAGTTTTAATTACTGGGTCCAGGACTTTAACCATGGTTGGCTATGTGGAAGTCCAGCGACAACCATTACACCATCTGCTGGTCCCATATGTATGGTATTTTGAATGTGAAATATCTTTTTACCCTTCCCAAGTCTAAAGAGCCACATTTTAGTTCCATTTGTTAGCACATAATGCATTTTTCACAAAAACGAAAGACCTAGACTTTGGGTTCTAAATCATTTAATATCCAAGTCCTGGCAATTTTTTTTTTTAAATAATTTTAAAACAATTTTTAAAATTTATCATTTATTTCAGTTTGACCAGAGGGAAAGTGAGAAAGCAAGCCAACAGGTCTGGGACTTGAACCGTGGGTGGCTATGCGGGAGTGTCCAGCATCTTAACCACCATGCTACCTGCTGACCCTAAGTCTTGGTAATATTTTTAACTTTCTGATAATGATTGAATCAGTTAAGTATCTGGAGTTTTTTCCTTTCACTGTTACTTACCTAAACTATTTCAGGGTTTTCATGCATAGCAATGTAATTGTTCCTTTGGTAATAAAGGAACTCTTAGAGCCAGCAAGTGGCATGGTGGTTTAGGTGCTAGACCCCCACGTGGTCAACCATGGTTCAAGTCCCAGACCTGGTAGGTTGCTTTCTCACCTTCTCTCTCTCTCTCTCTGGTCAAAGTAAAGAATAATAATGATAATAAAAAATAAATAAAATAAATCATTCTTTTTTTTTAGAAAAGAACTCTTTTGGGGGACCAGCATATGGCATAGTAGTTGGACTCTCACATGGCTGACTGTGGTTTGAGTTTTGGACCTGGCAGCTTGAAACACACGCTGGGCACGAGTGTGTTAGTGCCCCAAATCCTGAGAGCAGAATGGAGAAGAACAAATTGGGGCATGGCCATCCCCCTGGGAGGGGATTTCCCCCTTTCTGTCTCTCTGGTGAGACATGCCCTATAGCAAAAATCTCTCTTTAAAAAAAAAAAAAGGAACTCTTTTGGGAATTAATTCTGTAATAGGTGAATTTTATTATGTTTTTGTTCAACTCTAGATGCCGATCCTTGCACCGGATTCCAACTTGGTGATATGCTTTTTAAAAGTAGGAGTCTTAAGGTGACTGGACATTAGCTTGTTTCCATAAGTTTTTTGGGTTTGAAAGTATCTTTTGACTTGAATATTCTTTGGTGGGGCTCAAAAACTGTTAGCTGACAAACTGTAACCTGTAAGTAAGTTAGAGAGATAAAATAAATTTCTAACACCAAGATGTTTTTAAAGTAGAGAGTTTTGAGAAATAGGAAATCATAGCTGTCAAATGTACAAAGATGAACATTCAGAAAAAAATTGCTGAATCATCATTGCTTGGCATATAAGTAGGTGTTCTCATTTCTTTAAAGGTTAACACATGAATATCACCTTTCCATTATATTCTAAACATATATGTACATTTTTTTCTCACAGAATTTTTTTCAAGGGTACAGACCCTTAAGGTAGCTAAATGTAAAACTATGGCCTTTTTTGGGCATTTTCTTATTAATCTATCTTTCCAATATTGTATTTGAAATGGAAGCAGTTTTGGAAAGATGAGAAAACCATTTAGGAAATAGAAGATGACTTACATACATTGCAAATATGCCTCATAAAAATATAAAATATGTTATATGTAAAATAAACAGGCATCAAAAGGGTATATAAATATTATGTTCTAAATTTTGTTAATAAAAAACAGAACTACAACAAATAACAGTAAATATTAATAGTAAAAAGATTTTAGGGAAATACACATTTAGCAGGATTTACCTAAAATAATATGACAGGGAACATTTTTTATTCTTTTTTTTCCCCCTGTTTTCCAAAATCTTTGACAATGAATATGTATTTATAGTTAGGAGCAATGTGTCTTTAAAAGGAAAACTGTCTCTCATATTATTGCTTCTTAAATAGTGTGTCTGTATTTTAAGTTGATCCAGTTAAGGTCTTATAAGGGAACAAGAATATATAGTATTTGTAACCTGATGCTTCTCTCAGCTTTCTTGCAGCACACAAATCTTTAAATGGTAACCATAAAAATGGGGTCTTACTCTGTTTTAGTTGAACTAACTAAATTCATGTCTTAAGCTATCACATATAAATATTGGTTTTCTGGAACTGTTAACTCTTGAATACTAAAATAAAGAACAACTAGTTAAAATTATTAAAGTCTTATTTGAGTCCTTTTCTGTTTAAAATACTGCTTTTTAACTTTTTGGTAGGTTTTTTACAATTTGAAATTGGTATGTTGGCTTCCTGGCATTTCTGGTCAATAGACCCCAGGAATTTTGAAAATGACCCCAGTAATTTCAGATTATTTGAAAATTTTAATTTAAGCAATTCATATTTAGTATTATATGTTTTATGGTTGAATGACTTGAGATTAAAATCAAAATACATAAAATAAACTCAAGGGTATTTTTATTTGTATAATAACTAACTTCATTTAACATAGGATGCTTATTGGCTATAATTATTTTTGTAGCATTCTCACCTAGAATGGAATAAATAAATACATAGTCACAACATTCTTTCTGGAAATACTGGTTTATGAATCCACTTGCCTTCTTAAATAGGAAATAAAAATGGTAGAACCAGAAGGAATATGAATGGTTAATCGTGGAGGAGGAGAAAACATAGCTCAGTACTTTGACTAGAGGCAGCTGGGAAAGTGACGTCCTGTAGCATTTGGTGTTCTAGAAAGTACAGAGACACGTAGTGAAAATGGGAGGATCTAGAAGGAGGCTGTCTCCTGTGTAGAGTATATTTATCTGTAAGTGAGCTGCTGGGGAAGGAATTAAATACAGAAACGCTGTCTGCTTGCTGCCTTGACACGGCTAGCTGAATTGCTGATTTCCTTTAACTTTTAAAATACCCAGCTTGGTTTATTTTTCTTAGAATCATTATATTGCTAAGACTGGGGACGCTGTTTTCTTTTACAAAGGGAAATCTAAGTTCATTTCAAGGCATTCGAAATGGGGAAAGACTATTATGGCATTTTGGGAATTGAAAAAGGAGCTTCAGAGGAGGATATTAAAAAGGCTTACCGAAAACAAGCCCTCAAATTTCATCCGGACAAGAACAAATCTCCTCAGGCAGAGGAAAAATTTAAAGAGGTCGCAGAAGCTTACGAAGTATTGAGTGATCCTAAAAAGAGAGAAATATATGATCAGTTTGGGGAAGAAGGTAAGTATTTCGTGTATATCTGCCTCTTCAGCTCTTTCTCTTTATTTTGCTTTCTCTCAGTAGTCCAGTTATCATTACCTTGAATTCTCAGATCTATCAAAAGTAGAAAGATAAATAATAAATAAAACAAGATTTCATTCTTGATCATGTGGATGAGTATTTATATAGCTATGAATGAAATATCATTGTTAACATTTTTTAGTTTTAGCATTGTGTATTATATTTCACCATTAGGCTTACTGTGTTAACACTGTGTATTTTTAAAGAAACCTTAAATTCCCATACGCATTAATGAATTGTGTCAAAAGTCTTATGCAACCTGTTTTGTTTTTTAATGAATTTTCTGCCGGAACCTTTAGAGTCTTCGGTCTTAAAATCTTAAGATTGGCCACTCAAATTCTGGGTAGTTTTATTTTTTATTCACGAAAAGAAAAAAGTTCTTTTTCTTTTTTTATGATATAGCAGGGCTAGTTTAGACTGAATAAGACAGAGTTGTCCTCCCAGAAGCAGAAGGCGCAGGCATTTAGCGTCTAGTTGTTTTTGGCACTCCGCCTGGAGAGGAAAGAATTTTCCTGATGTCATAAAATACCAGAACAAGTTTTTAGCTTAATTGTAAACAGTAATTGTGTGCCAAGAAAGTAAGATCTTAGAAATAGAATTTTTGACCTAAAATGGCCACCCAGTTAGAACAATTATTGATTTGCTTTTAAGGTAACATTATTTCTTTTGAAATTTTACTATCCAGGTATAGAAGAAAGCATGACGACTTCCCTTTCCTCTCTGCCATACTTTTTTTTTCTTGTACTGAGAGCTCAGGAACTAGTGAACACTGTAAATGGGGTAATTTAAGATGATCCTTTTATTCTGGATTTTAAATCAGGCTTGTTCATCTCCATATAAATGTAGCTTTAAAGTAAAACTTTTAGATTGCTAATTAAGAACCACAACAAAAACTTGAATTCCTTACAGGTTCTGAGACTTTCAACTTTCAAAATGAGAACTAAGTTATTTTATTATTAGTTTTTCTACCAAAATAGGTCTTTTTAAGTCACTGGAGCTATGAAAACTTTTTTGTCACTCCCTTGCTTTCTTTATTTCATTTAATGTCAGATTTTTGTAATTAGAAATGTATGCTTAAAATACAGTCAAACAGTGACTGCTTATTTTAAATTAAATGCAGACAAGCAGAGTGATTGCTTGTACAGGGTGTTTTCCTTGTTTTGTTTTGTCTGTGAGTTGCCAAAAATTGAAGCTTTAAGTTGATTTTGGTGGGGTGGGAGCTTCAGTGTCAGATTTTTTTTTTAAGAATGATTTCAAATTTTATTTTATTCATTGTCATTATTTTATTTTATTTTTTTGAGTTGACCAGAAAGAGACAGAGAAGGAAAGTGAGAAAGCAAGCTGCCTGATCCGGGACTTGAACCGTGATCAGCCATGTGAGAGTCCAATCACCTTAACTACCCTGCCACCTGCCGGCCCCAGTGTTAGGTTCTTAAAAAATAAATATTGATAAAAGCAGATAGTTTCCTGTAGCCATACTACTCAAAATACTCTGATTTGGTTCCTCTCCAAAGCTAAGCAGGATCCTGAGATGGTACCAATAATATCTTTCTAAAGAAATTATTTTGTTATTTTATAAACAAAGCTACAAAAAGAGTACAATTACAAGTTCCCATGAAAAAGCAGACATCTACTGCTTTAAATCTAAGATATTTGTCCACATCTTACTGATAACTCAGGTTTGTCTATGCCTAAACCATAGGACTTAGGTTTATTTTGGATATTTATTTGTCTTCAGAATTTTCAAGTCACCAAATGATAAATTTTTCTTGGGTTAACATTACCTTTTAATAGTTTCTGTTGAATTTTTTTTTTCAGTTTGAGTTTTACTGGTCATTACCAGTGTGTGAATTAAAAAAACAAACAAACAAACAAACTAAATCAGGATCATGTATGTACCCTGTATCTTCATTTTGTTTTATTTATTTATTTATTTTTTTGGAGAGGTTTTCGCTATAGGGCATGTGCGCTCGCCAGACAGAGAGAGACAGAGAGACAGAAAGCGAGAAACCACCCCCCGGGGGGATGGTCACTCCGCAATCCCTTCTCCTCCATTCTCCTCTCGGGATCTTGGGCATGCACGCACAAGTGCCGGGACAGGGGATCTTGGGCATGCACGCACAAGTGCTGGGATGCGAAGGGACGCGAACCGTAGTTGACTACGTGGGAGTCCAGCAACATAGCCATTACGCTAACTGCTGGTTCCCAATTTTGTTTTATTCTTGACTCAGATAATTGATATAAATGATAAGAGGAAGGGTAAGAAAAGATAAATTTTTTAAAGCTTAGAATATATTATTTAGAAATATTCTGTAATTACAGGTTATTTGAAAGTACAGTTGAATAAAAGTTATTAGAATTATTTTTTTAGAATTTTTTCTATGGAGCCAGCAGGTGGTGTGGTGGTTAAGGGCACTGGACTCCCACATGGCTGATTGTGGTTCGAGTCCCAGTCTAGGTGGCTTGCTTTCTCACTTTCTCTTTCTCTGTGCCCCTCTCTGACCAATTACAGTAAATAAATAAATAAATAAATAAAACTTTCGCTCTCTCTGGTCAAATTTAAATAAATAAATAATTCTTTTCAAAAAAGGGAGGGCTGGAAGGTGGCGTGGTGGTTAAGGGTGTTGGACCCCCACATGGCCAACAGTGGTTTAAATCCCGGACCTGGTGGCTTGCTCTCTCACTTTCTCTCACTCTGTCCCTCTCTGGTCAAATTAAAATAGATAAAATAAATAAATACATAAAGTTAAATAAAATAACTATGTTTTTAAAATAAGGAACCAGCAGGTGACGTGCTGGTTAAGGTGCTAGACACTCCCACATGACAGACAATAGTTTGGGTACTGGACCTGATGGCTTGCATTGTCACTACCTCTCTCTCTCTGGTCAAATTAAAAATAAATCAATGAAGGACCAGCAGGTGGTGTGGTGGTTAAGGCCACTTTGCTGGACACTCCCACATAGCCAGCCATGCTGGGAGTCCTTGACCTAGTGGTCACATTCCCTCTCTCTCTGTCTCTCTGGTTGAATTAAAATAAATGATGAATAAATAAAATTAAATAAAATAAAAAATAAATGAATACATAAAATAATTTTTTTAAAAAAGGATTATTTCTAGGTGGGTGTCATGGTGGTTAGGGGCATTGGACACCCACATGGCTTACTGTGGTTCAAGTCCTGGAGCTGGTGGCTTGCTTTCTCACTTTCTCTTTTGCTGTCTAATCAAACTGGAAAATAATAATAATATAATAAATAAAGTTAGGGACCAGCAGATGGTGTAATAGCTATGTCGCTGGACTCCCATGTAGTCGACCGTGGTTCAAGTCCCAGACCCAGTGGCTTAAGCTCATGCCGAGCACATGTGCAAGCGTGCCAAGATACTGAGAGAATGGAGGAGGAGGTTTTGCTTCGTGGCCATCCGCACTGGGAGGTGATTTTTTTTCTTTGTCTCTCTGTCTCTCTCTTTCTGGCAAGCGCACATTCCCTATAGCAAAAACCTCTCCAAAAAAAAAAATTAATTAATTAATTTTTAAAAAGTTAAAGTAATTCTTAAAAAAAATTATTTCTACATAGAGAAGCATTATATTTATTTGATCTTTTTTCAGAACATCTGATGCCTAGCAGTTTTTTTTTTTTTTTTTTTTTTTAACTATTATTTAATTTTATTTACTTTAATCTGACCAGAGAGGGATGGAGTGAGAGAGAGCAAGAGAGAAAGTGAGAAAGCAAGCCACCATGTCCAGGACTCGAACTGTGGTTGGCCATGTAGGAGTCCAGTGCCCTGAACTGCCATGCCACCTGCTGGCTCCCCCCCCCCCCCCCATTAATTCTCTTAAATTAGGCACTCTGTGAAAGTGTAGGAAAACTTTTTTTTTTTTTTTTCTCATTGCCTTTCGGTTCTCTCTGCAGGCCAGGTTCTGTAAAGTTTTCTCCTGTAGTAACAAACACTGAATTTTGAGGCTGTGGCGATACTACCAATTTACTTGACCTTTTTTTTTTTTTCTTCTTCTTCTTCTTCATCTCTATTTCAAGACTTGGAGCTGGGACAGTGGGAATAAAGAACCATGAACTGAGAAGTCTATGAGATGAATAAACTTAATTGATGTATTTAGGAATTTTGAGAACTAGTGATTCAGTTTATTCATGTTCTGAAAACCTCTGCTATCCACAGTTTAAAATGCTTTGTTTTAAAAAATTTGGATAAAAATAGAAATATTTTGAGCTTACCATATGACCCAGCAATTCTACTTTTAGGAATCCATAAAAGAGAAATGAAAACATACGCCCACACAAAGATATGTACCTGAATGTTCATAGTAGCATTATTTATAATGGCCTTCAAAATGGAAATAATCCCAAAGTGCCATCACTTGGTGAATGGATAATCAAAATGTAGAATATACACCCAGTGGGGACTATTTAGCAATGAAAAAGACCAGTTTAATACAACTTTCTTCTGTATGGATGGACCTCAAAAATTATGATAAATGAGAGAAGCCGGATGTATAAAATTATATTTTATAGGATTTCACTATATGAAATGTCTAGAAAAGGCCAATTTGTAAAGAAAGAAAATAGATCTTTCTTGCCTGGGACTGACATTGGAAGCTAGAATTAGCTACAGATAGTAACTAGAGACCGTTCTGAAAGGATGGAAATGTGCTGAATTGTGGTGATGATTGCACAACTTACTAAATTTGCCAAAATCAATTGACTTGTATCTTTAAAATTGATTGGTTTTATAGTGTGTAATAAATCTATTTTTAAAAATTATTTACTTTATTTATTATCATTACTTTAAAATTTTGCTATAGGGCATGTGCACTCACCAGAAAGAATTGAGAGAAGGAGAGAGAGAAAGTGAGAAAGCAAGCCACCAGGTCCAGGAGTTCAACCATGATCAGCCATGTTGGAGTTCAGCACTTTAACTACCTGGTGGCCCCTGAAATAAAGCTATTTCAAAAAATAAATTTTCTCCATAGTTAAATTGTTGAAAAACAAAAACCACAGTAATCTTAAGTTAAATTTTGAACCATGCTCTCCTGAAAAGTTTTAAGTTTAATTCAGAATGATTTAATGGATGCCAACAGAAGTTTATATTAAGGGATTAAAAAAAGATTTTCGATAACAAATCTTTAGAGTATTCTTGTTTTCTAACTTTTTAAAATGCTTTCTTTACTTTGTTTATTTCTCATAGTTTACTAGGTAACTTCACATACTGAAAGGTAGTGCTTATATTTAGTATATTAATCTTTACACTAATTTGCTTCATCAGTCTTTAACTTATATTTATCAGGTTTTTTTAAATTTACTATGTATCCTAAAAATATGTAAGTAACTTTGCTTTTTGTGAATTAAAACTCTATAGGATCTTATTATTCTATAACTTTATGAAGTCTTTCAATAAATCTAGGTTTTTACATTAGATATCCTTGGAGTAATATTTATCTAAATATAATTTTATTATTTTTTTACTCCTAAATCTTCTCTAGTGTTTCTTTGATAAACTTTTAGTCAATTTAACTATCTAATGGAAGTCATTGTTATGTATAGTATTCCAAATACATACTTATTTTTGGGTTACAAATTAGCTGATTGCTTGGTTTTTAGATAACAGTAGTTCTGCTAAGGCATAGGCAAATGTTGATTCTAGAGTGAGTTTTTTAATATACAAAATGATAATGATGTCTAGACAGCATTTGGGATGAGAAAAAGAATCCAGCTGAATCTTAACAATTTTCCATTAGCAGTTTGAAACGTACACAAGTAATAATTGACTATGTACTTGATTACATGTGTATATAATTTAAGTACTAGGCAATGCAAGTAATACTTGCATAATACTTTGTTTTATATTATAGTGGTGTGAATTTAAGTGGGATTTTTTTTCACAGTCATTAGGGTAGCTTTATTCTCTAGCTGAGCTACCTAGTAGACTGGTTAAGTATTTAAGAAGAAAACATCAAAGCTGCACTGAAAACTTTTTGTTAGCTTTGATAAATCACTCAATCTTTAATTCTGACTGGGTTACCATTTTTGGCAGAAGAGGGGAAGGGTTTTAGAGAAAAGCCAAGCCCATGATGAAGTGAGTTAAAATGTTATTTTTTCTTTTCATGAATCCATTAAGGGTCCAAAGCATTTAGACTTTGTTTTGTAGAGGGTTAGATTGGACTAGTGAATTTACCCAATTCACGTAAGTCTGTTAAATTACTAGACTCTTAAATCTGTGTAATGAAGGATAAAAAGATTGAACTAATTTAAGCAATGGTTTATTCATCTTGGTCATTACCCTGAGTTATATATATATTCTATTATTTTTAAAAATCTGTCATTAACTTTTTAACATTTGTGGCTATTATTGTACTGTTAAAATTTATAAAAGGGAGATTTGGATAAGCTGTGTATTGAAAGTTTTTGTCATTCAGTTTCTTTTTTTAAATTTTTTTTTTTGAGAGGTTTTTCGCTATAGGGCGCGTGCACTCGCCAGACAGACAGAGGGAGACAGAGAGACAGAAAGCGAGAAATCACCCCCCACGGGGGATGGCCACGCCGCAATCCCTTCTCCTTCATTCTCCTCTCGGGATCTTGAGCATGCATGCACAAGCGCCCGGCGTGAGTTTTAAGCCACTGGGTCTGGACACAAACCACTGTCGACTACGTGGGAGTCTAGCAACATAGCCATTACCCTAACTGCTGGTTCCCATCTTTCTTTTAATTTTTAAATTTTATTTTATCTTATTTTTTTAAAGAATTACTTTATTTAACTTTATTTACTTATTTACTTGTTTTTCTTATTTGACCAGAGAGGGACAGAGAGAGAAAGAGAGAGAGAAAGAGAAAGTGAGAAAGCAAGCTGCTAGGTCTGGGACTTGAACTGTGGTTGGCCATGTGGGAGTCCAGAGCTCCTAACCACAATACCCCTGCCTGCCCCACTTGTCATTCAGTTTCTACAACAAATTTCCCTAACTTCCACTTGAATATGTCATTCAACACATATTTTAACAATTTTCAGATTACTTTCTTGATCTCTAGATTTTTATCCATTGATGAAGGTAGAAATTTAGGCATCAGTTGAGACTTTAGATGAAGTAGAAAATATACATTTTAATGGAATAAGATATCCAAAGTAAGTATTTTTGAATTAAGACATGTAAAACTAAGTAAGTCTCTTTCTTTTTCTCTCTTTTCTTAAAATAATTATTCATTTAATTATTATTATTTTTCAGTTTGACTAGAGAGAGGGAACGTAAGCTGCCAGATCCTCCAGGACTTGAACTGTGGTCAGCCATGTGGGAGTCCAGTGCCTCAACCACCACACCACCTGCCAGCCCAAAAAACTAAGTCTCTTTAAAATTCCATTGAGTGTTTGCAGTAGAATTTTAAATTATTAAATCTCTTATATATAATTATGTGTGATTATGTATTTTTTGTTTAATTTTATTTATTATTATTCTCCAGTTTGATCAGAGAAAGAGGGAAAGTGAGAAAGCAAGCTACCAGGTCCAGGATTTGAACCGTGGTTGGCCATGCGGGAGTCCAACGCCTTTAAACACTACACCACCTGCTGGCCCCAAATGTGTGATCATGTTTAATACTGCTTTGCTTCTAACTTCTCATTACTGACACTCAGAACACCTATTTTAGTTTCAATTTAGGAGGATTTTAAGAAATAGTTTATTCCTTTCATTTAATAAATATGAAAGCCCATCATTTTCAGCCCTGTGTGCATGAACAATACAAAAATGAATAAAATATTATTTCCTACTCTCATATTACTCATGACTTGTGCATTGTAGAATCTCCTCCTTTGGTCTCTTGAATGTTTTAGTTTTATAATGTTTAGGTTCTTTCTGTTTATTTCCATGGTTAGGAATTCCTGTAAAGCTGATAATGTGATGATAGAAATCCTTGTCAGTATTGAGCCATTAAAAGTCTGTTGTTTTGTGGATTTTAGAAGAATCTTCATTATATAGTGGAAAACTGATGGGGTTTTTTTGTTTGTTTTTAGGAGAGATTTTTGCTATAGGATTCGTGCGCTCACCTTAGAGACGACAGATAGAAAGCGAGAAATTACCCCCTGGGGGTATGGCCACACTGCAGTCCTTTCTCCTGCATTCTCTTCTTGGGATTTTGGGCACTCATGCACGTGCACCTTGCATCAGTTTCAAGTTGCCAGGTTTTGGACACTAGCATCAGTAGGCCATGTGGGAGTCTAGTGACATAACCATTACACCATCTGCTAGTCCTGTAAATAATTTATCTTTTGTGAACTACATAATTTTACTTGGTCGAGCCTTTGAGCAAAGGGTCACTATAGTGCTGAAGTAGGTTGTCCACAGAAGACAAAAATAACCAGTCCAGAGGCCTTACATGTCAAGAGGGTTTACAGCTCTTGATTTCAGCCGTTGTTTTGCATGCTTTGAAATGAATATTATGATATGGTATGCCTAAACAGTTTTGATATATAGGATAGGAGTAAAAATTTCAGTGTCTAACATTTTGTAGAAATTGTTGTAATTATTAAATAATTTTTTATTTAATAGTTTATTTTATTTAATAAGTTTTTCCTTCTCTGCCATGAAGAGAGTTCTGTTTTAATTATTTAATAGTAAAAGATGACCTGAAATAAATCTAGTTAGTATGAATGTGATATTTTATATTATTGAATATATTAGGTTGTCGGGAAAGTCATGACGCATTATGTCAACCTGACAATTTAATACTTACTGACTATAATGGTACTTAAAGATTTAAGTTCATGGGGCTAGTAGGTGGCATGGTGATTGAGGTGCTGGTCCTCTGTGGCTGACTGTACGGTTCAAGTCCTGGATCTGGCAGCTTGCTTTCTCACTTTCTTTTTTTCTCTCTCTCTCTGTCTCTCTGGTTAAAACAAACAAACTAAACTAAACTAAACTAAAAAATAATAATAAATAAATTTAATTTAAAAAAAAGATTTAACTTCTACATTTTACATTGATTACTGAAAACTATTCAACTGACATCTTTTGGGGAGCATTCTGAAAACAGGATCAAATCAGCTGATGTATTTTAAACAAATAAATTTATATATTTTAGTATTTCAAATACTCTATGAGACAAGAAATTCCCTTTTTTTTTTTTCTTATCTACTGGAACAAGATTCAGGAATAAATTATTAAAGATCAGGATTTGGGACTAGCAGGTAGCGTTGTGGTTAAGGTGCTGGACACTCCCACATGGCTGACCAGGGTTTGAGTCCTAAATCTGGTGGCTTGCTTTCTCACTTCCTCTCTCTCTCACTCTCACCCTCTGTCTCTCTATAGTCAAATTATAAATGAATGAACGAATAAAATAAATAATTATTTTTGAAAAAGATCGGGATTTGGAGAAAGAATCTGAAAGCTAAAAATTTAATTTGGGATGGAATTATCAAAAGTTACATATGGGGACTGGCAAGTGGCATGGTGGTTTAGGCGCTGGACTCCAATTTGGTAAACTGTTTCAAGTCCTAGACCTGGTGGCATGCTTTCTCGCTTTCCCTCTCTTTCTGTCTCTCTCTGGTTGCGTTAAAAAATAATGCTAATAAATAAAGTTAAATAAATAATTATTTTAAAGTTATGTAAGTATTTTGTGTTTTATATTAATAGCATTTCTGGCCAACATTAATAAATTGTAAGCTAGTCATGATGGCATATGCCTTCCTATAATCCCAACAACCTGGGAGACAGCCAGAAGAATCATGAGTTGAGGCCAGCCTTGACAATCCTGGGAGACCGTATACTTAAAACAAGTTTATTTATCACTCTCTCTATATATAGAGATAAGTAAATATAAATTGTAGCCTAAGTTGATCAAAGTTTATTAGCGGTACAGTTTTTAAAAGTTAAACTTTCAAGAGTTGCAAACCTTTTTCTAATTATGCTTATTTCTTCACTTAGGGTTGAAAGGAGGAGCAGGAGGTACTGATGGACAAGGAGGTACCTTCCGGTACACTTTTCATGGTGATCCTCATGCCACATTTGCAGCATTCTTTGGAGGTTCCAACCCCTTTGAAATTTTCTTTGGAAGACGAATGGCTGGTGGTAGAGATTCTGAAGAAATGGAAATAGATGGAGATCCTTTTAGTGCCTTTGGATTCAGCATGAATGGATATCCAAGAGACAGGAATTCTGTGGGCCCATCCCGCCTCAAACAGGATCCTCCAGTTATTCATGAACTTAGAGTATCACTTGAAGAGATATATAGTGGTTGTACCAAGCGGATGAAGATTTCTCGAAAAAGGTTAAATCCTGATGGAAGGAGTTATAGATCTGAGGACAAAATTCTCACCATTGAGATTAAAAAAGGGTGGAAAGAAGGAACAAAAATTACTTTTCCAAGGGAAGGAGATGAAACACCAAATAGTATTCCAGCAGACATTGTTTTTATCATTAAAGACAAAGATCACCCAAAATTTAAAAGAGATGGATCAAATATAATTTATACTGCTAAAATTAGTTTACGGGAGGTAAGTTTGTAGGCCCTAAGATTCTGAGTCTGAAGAGAGCTTAGGGAGTGTATCTAAATAATAGTTAACATATAGTCATTGCTTATTACATGTTATTATTTTGATCCTCCTAACAACATTTTGAGGTAATCCTACCATTTGTACCTCCTATGAATGAGATTATAATTTCTAACTGTAGTTATTTGCACTATTTATTTATTTATTTATTTTTGGAGAGGTTTTTGCTATAGGGCACATGCGCTCACCAGGAAGACAGAGACAGACAGCAAGCGAGAAATCACCCCTCGGGGGATGGCCACACCACAATCCCTTCTCCTCCATTCTCCTCTTGGGATCTTGGGCACGCGTGTACATGCGCCTGGCGTGAGTTTAAGCCACTGAGTCCGAGACTCGAACCCCAGTCAGCTACGTGGGAGTCCAGCGACACAGCCATTACGCTAACTGCTGGTCCCTGTATTTATTTATTTTAAAGAATTACTTTATTTAACCTTCTTTCTTTCTTTCCGTCTATCTTCCTTCCTCTCTCTTTCTCTCTCTCTTTCTCTCTCTCTCTCTTTCTCTCTCTCTCTCTCTCTCTTTCTTTCTTTCTTTCTTTCTTTCTTTCTTTCTTTCTTTCTTTCTTTCTTTCTTTTTAATTTGGCCAGAGAGGGACAGAAGTGAGACAGACAGAAAGAAAGCAAAAGCAAGCCACCAGGTCCGGGACTCAAACCACAGTTGGCTAGGTGGGAGTCTTAAATTCCTAACCACCATGCCACCTGCCAGCCCCTACTTATGTATTTTTAAGAAATATTTTTGCTATAGGGCACATGTGTTCACCAGAGAGACAGGAAGCAAGAAATCACCGCCCCCCTGGGTGGATGACCACACCACAATCCCTTTTCTCTATTTTCTTGGGATTTTGGGCACGCACACATGCACACCAGGCATGAGTGTTAAGCCACAGGTCCAAGACTCAAACCATGGTCAACTACATGGGAGTCCAGCAATGCAACCTTTATACCATCTGCTGATCCTTGTACTAACAATTTAAATTATCTGCTGGTCCCTGTACTAACAATTTAAATGGCAATTTTAAGTGTTCACTGGATTATATTAGGTCTAATATTAGATTAACTCTAGTCTGTTATTACACGTGTTGTTACTGAATTCTACATTGGTAACCTCACCTTAGTCCATGTATAAGATTTGTTCTGGGCCGACAGGTGGTGTGGTTAAGGGCATTGAACTCCCACATGGTGGTTCGAGTCCCAGACCTGGCAGCTTGCTTTCTCACTTTCCTTCTCTCTCTCTTTCTACCTCTCTGGTTAAATAAAATAAATAAATAAACAAATAAAAGAGTTCTTTTAAAAAAAAATAAAAAGGTTGGAGTGCTGCAGAGATATTTCCTTCTGCTCTCCTGTTCTGTCCCTAGCCTTTAAAAAAAAGTTCTTAAATTAAAATTTGAATTAATAATAGTATAGCTAAGATATTAAAAGACAACTTATAATTCATTATTGATAATAAGCTACAAATTAGAAATTTATAATATTACTGCTTTAATATAATTTTAGTTCTTATTCAAGCTGTCTCAAATGATAACCCTGTGGACTTAGCCATGAAGTTTCTTGCTTAAAATTTTTTTCTTTTTTTTAAAGAATTAGGTTTATTTAATTTTATTTATTATTAGTGTTATTTTTTTAAATTTTTTTTGAGAGGTTTTGCTATAGGGCGCGTGAACTCACCAGAAAGAGAGAGACAGAAAGTGAGAAATCAACCCCCGGGGGGATGGCCACACTGCAGTCTTTTCTCTTTCATTCTCCTTTTGGGATCTTGGGCACACACACACACGCGCCTGTCGTGAGTTTAAGCCACCGGGTCCAGGACTCAAATCGCAATCGGCTACATGGGAGTCCAGCGACATAGCCATTACGCCAACTACTGGTCCCAGTGTGATTTTAAATTTTGACCAGAGAGAGACAGACAGAGAAAGAGAGAGAGAGAAGGTGGAGAGGAAGGGAGCAAGAAAGCTCCCAGGTCCAGGACTTGAACTGTGGTTGGCCATTTGGAAATCCAATGCCTTAACCACCACGCCACCTCCAAGCCACTCTAGCTCAAAATTCTTAAATGGTTCTTTATATCCTCTTAAAGCCCAAACTCCATAGCTTAAAATAAAAGATAATTTTTAATTTAATTTTTACACACAAGCACACGTCCATTATCCTGTTGGTTCTATTATTACCTTTTTTACTTTGTCAGTATCTGAGCTCCTGCCCTAATACTTGATACTGGCTCAATGCTTAGCTCAAGGATCTATATTCCCAGAACCCAAGGGGGGTAAGTAATGCCCTTCTTGTCACAAAAGACTTGCATGTAATTCTCTGCCTGCACTATACTGTATTTATTTTAGGTTTTTACCATAGCACATGCATTAACCAGAGAGAGACAGACAGACATGAGTGGTGGGGGGAGTAAGAAATCACCCTCTCAGGGGATGGCAATGCTGTAGTCCCTTCTTCAGTCTCCTCCTGGGATTTTGAGCACACATCCACACATACCCAGTATTATTTTAACTGCTAGGTCTGAAGTTGGAACCATGGTCAGCTATGTGAGATTCCGCACCTTAACCACAATGACACCTGCTGCCTACCCCTCCCCCTTTATTTTGAAGTTTATTTTATTCATGAGAGAGAGCACTTGTGCATGCATGAGAGAAAGAGACTAGACCCTCTAGGATTTCATCATACCATGATCCCCTTCCCCAGCCCACCGTCTTATCAGGATCTTGGACATGTGTTCACCCTATCATGTTTTCAGGTTAACTCAGGATCCAGACATGTGGTTGGTCATATGGCAATTCAGAAAATACTGCCTGCACCACTAAGGCTAGGCCCAATTCCTTCATCTATTGTAGAATGGTGTAATAACTTCAAGCTATCTCTCATTCCAGGGAAATGTCGGGGACCAGCAGGTGGCGTGGTGGTTAAGGCGCTGGACACTCCCACATGGCCGACCACGGTTTGAGTACCAGACCTGGTGGCTTGCTTTCTCACTTTCCCTCTCTCTCTCTCTCTCTTTCTGTATATCTCTCTCTGATAAAATAAACGAATGAATAAATAAAGTGAAATAATTTTTTTAAAAAAACAAGTTGTTATTTTGGAGGTTAAAAATTTTCCTTAGCAGGGAGCCAGCAGTTAGTGTAATGGCTATGTCACTGTACTCCCACGTAGTTGACTGCGGTTCACATCCCTGACCCAGTGGCTTAAAACTCATGCCGGGCGCGTGTGTGTTCGTGCCCAAGATCCCAGGAGGAGAATGGAGGAGAAGGGATGGCCATTCCCCCTGGGGGGTGATTTCTCGCTGTCTGTCTTTCTGTCTCTATGTCTTTCTCTGTCTGTCTGGTGAGCACATGAGCCCTATAGCAAAAACCTCAAAAAAAAATTTTTTTTCCTTAGTTATATTATGCTTTACCACTTGATAATAATTTTGCTTAGATTTTGAAGTTTTAAGTTTTGTTCATTTTATTTTATCTGTTTCATTTTAGGCATTGTGTGGCTGCTCAATAAATGTGCCAACAATGGATGGAAGAAACATACCAATGTCAATAAATGATATTGTGAAACCTGGAATGAGGAGAAGAATTATTGGATATGGGCTGCCATTTCCAAAAAATCCTGACCAGCGTGGTGACCTTCTAATAGAATTTGAGGTGTCCTTCCCAGATACTATATCCTCATCATCTAAGGAAGTACTTAGGAAACATCTTCCTGCTTCATAGAATGAAGAACTTTGTTTCCCATATTTTGATAAGGCACTGAAAATATAAAGACTGGCAGTTTACTGATGTAGATGTGAATTCTGTATAAAGACGTGTAAATTCTTTTGAGGGTTCATTTAATTGCATGAATACAGACGGGTCAAATAAATAGGCAAATGGGATTTTTGCAGTTAGAGAAAACTCACTCACTGTATTTTATTTCATTTCTCCCAAATCAGACATTTGTAGTATTTTGCTTATATGTAAAAATTTTTGTGGGGGTTCTGCAGATGGCATAGTGAGTAGTTAAGGCACTAGACTCTCACATGGCAAACCACGGCTTGATTCCCAGACCTGGTGGCATGAAGATTATGTTGAATATGTGTGCATGTGCATACATGCCTGCCCAAAATCTGAGGAGGAGAAGGGAGGAGCAGGGATTGTGGGTGTTTCTAGGGGGTGATTTCTCATCTTTCCTCTTACTGTCTCTCAGGTGAGTGCACGTGCCCTATGGCAAAAAACTTAAATAAAAAAACAGAAAAGTTTCTGTGGGGATGTATTTCTAATAAAGTACTAGACTATCAAAGTACTTTATTTCTTAGATATCTTTAGATGATCAGTATGGTAGTTCCCTTTTAAAATGGAAGTTAAAATTATTAACCAAACTATACATGTAATATGTATTTCTAGAACAGAATAAAAACCCAAGTCATCTGGAAATGTGTTTATTAGAGTTCAGTTACCTTCTGAAATTATGTTCTAGGGCTGGTACCAGTAAAAGAGTATCTTACATATGTGTTTCACAATTTGATTTTTAAAGTATGCTCTAGCATTTCTTAATAAAATAATTGTAATGTTCTCAAGGCAGACCTTTTCTTCATAAAAAGAAAACTAATGCCATTTTTTCTCCTGTGGAAATCCCAATTGCTTAAATTACTGATATTTTAGAAATAGATTTTTTTAAATGCCATAAGTAAGTTTATGCAAGTTGAGTATATATCTTGGACTTAATAAATTATAAGCTTATTTTGTTGTCCACTAGTTTAAAATAATTTGTTTCATAACAAAGGTGTTTTTAGAAGAAATACTGTTACTTGGAATTAATTTTCCAATTAAACAGTCTTCTATAATTTACTCATACTATATATAGCATATGTAATTCCCTAAAAAGAATCAGCTACCACTACAGCATTCAACCAAAATATGGAGAAAGTAAACACTAACTGCTGCTTATGAATAATGTTGTTACTACTTGTTATGCATATAAATATTTTACTTTTTCATATGTATAGATTGCATTTCTTAGGTGTTTTACTTTTTTAAATATACTTATATCTAAAAATTATTTTGTTTTCTTCTGTTTTATAACTATGGCGAGCGTGATGTTTTGAAAAAGTTTTTAGTTACACAATACTTTCAGGCTCATATATATATATACATGGTATATACTTACTCCTATCACCTTTTAGCAGAATATGAAAACTTATAAAATTCAATATAAATAAGTTATAGTAACTATATACCTTTATTGAGTATAATTCACATCACATAAGATTTACTCTTTTTTTTTTTGGAGACGTTTTTTTCCTACAGGGCGCGTGCGCTCTCCAGAAAAACAGAGAGAGACAGAGAGATAGAAAGTGAGAAATCACCCACCAGGGGGTTTGGCCACACCACAACCCCTTTTCCTCCATTCTCCTCTCGTGATCTTGGACACGCACGCACATGCGCCCGGCCACCGGGTCCAGGACTCAAACCGCAGTCGACTATGTGGGAGTCCAGCGACATAGCCATTACGCTAACTGCTGGTCCCAAGATTTACTCTTTAAAGTGTACAATTCAGTGGTTCTAGTATTCTCAGAGTGGTGTGATCATCTCCACATTCTAACTTCAGAGTATTTTTGTCATCCTAAAAAGAAGCCATACATCTGTTAGTAGTCATTCCTCGCTCTTCCCTACAGCCTCTGACAAACACCAATCTACCTTTCATCTGTCTGGATTTGTCTATTCTAGGCAATATATATAAAAGGAACCAAGCAGTATGTGACTTTTTTTGTTAGGCTTCTTTCACTTAGCTTTATGGTTGTTTTTTTTTTTTTTTTTTGGAGAGGTTTTTGCTATAGGGCATGTGCGTTCGCCAGACAGACAGAGAGAGACAGACAGAAAGTGAGAAATCACCCCCCAGGGGGGATGGCCACACCGCAATCCCTTCTCCATTCTCCTCTCGGGATCTTGGACACGCACGCACACGCACCCGGCATGAGTTTAAGCCACCAGGTCCGGGACTCGAACCGCAGTTGACTACCTGGGAGTCCAGCGACATAGCCATTACACTAACTGCTGGCCCCGACTTAGCTTTATGTTTTCAAGGTTCATCCATGTTGTGTTACCTATCAGTGTTTCATTCCTTTTTATAGCAAATACTGTTCCATTATGTGAATACACTGCATTTTATTGATCTATTCATTAGTTTAGGGACATTCAAATTCTTTTTAATTTCTAGCTATTAAGAATGTTGCTGCGAACATTGGTGTGCAAGTTTTTATATGGACATAGCTTTTTAATTGTCTTGGGTATATAACAGTGCAATAGCTAGAAAAATATTAGCTACAAATGGAAAATGTTGGGAAAGTGCCCACTTATTCTAATTCATAAAATCATTCCTTTGTAACTTTGTTTCTTTGAATAACAGTTAAAACTCCCTAGGGAAGTGTGAACATGATGGAAATTTCATCACAAGTCTAAAGAGCTAGGGCTGAAAAGCATCAGTCAAAGTGGTGGGGTGATTTCTATTTTATTATTTATTTATTTAAAGAATTGTTTATTATTATTATGGTTAATATTATTTTTCTCGTGAGTTTTGCCAGAGAAAGACAGAGAGAGAGGGAGAGTGAGATAGCAAGCTGCCAGGTCTGGGACTCAAACCATGGCCAGCCATGTGGGAATTCCAACACCTTAACCACTATGCCACCTGCTGGCTCTGTGATTTCTATTTTAAATACACTATATTATATACGTTTCTGATTTACATATAAATCGTTGGACATTTTAATACAATATGTTAAAATCACTATTACTTATTGCAGTCTTACTGATTAAACATTTTCTTCCAAGTAAAATAATGTATTTAGGGGCCAGCAGGTGGCATATAGGTTATAGTGCTTACTGCTGTTGGAGTCCTGGACCTGGCAGCTTGAAAATTAAGAAGGGTGTGCATGCATGCCCAAAATCCCAGAAGGAGGCCAGAGGAGAAGGGATTGCAGCGTGGCCATCCCCCCTGGGGGGTTGATTTTTCACTTTCCTTTTCACTGTCTCTATCTCTCTCTGGTGAGAATATGCACCCTATGGCAAAGAAACCTTAAAAATAAAAAGTAAAAGTATAGTCGAGGTCAGCAGGTGATATGGTGATTGAGGTGCTGGACTTCCAAATGGCCAACTGTGATTCAAGTGCTAGACCTGGCAGCTTGTTTTCTCTCTCTCTCATCTCTCCCTGGTGAGTACATGTGCATTGTAGCAAGTTGAAAAATAATAATGAGGGGCTAGCAGGTGGCATGGCTAGGGCACTGGTTTCCTATATGGCTGACCGTGGTTAGGGTCCCAAACCTGGCAGCTTGCTTTCTCACTCTCCCTCTCTCTCTCTGATCAAATTAAATTATAATTATAAGTAACATGAAATAAATAATTCCAAAAAATGAGAAGCAAAATTAAAAAAAAAAATTATGGGTTAGATACATGGAAGATGACTGGGTTAAAAAGCTTTTTTGTTGTCTTTTAATTTGCCTAAGGGTGTGTGCACTTGCAAGAGAGAGAAAAAAAAGTGAGAAAACATCACCAATGGGGAATGGTCGCACTGCGATCTCTTTTCTACTTTCTATTGGGGCATGTATGTACATGTACCTGATTTGTTTCTCAGGCTACCAGGTCCAAGGCTCAACTGCACAGTTGGCCATTCAGCTACCTTAATTGTCATAGCACCAACTAGCCCTAAAAAGCATTTTATAAGTAGAGAATTATTCTACTAATAAAATAATAAATTTACATTGCTATACAAAAATAGCATACCAAGCTCTCTTTGTCTTAAAGAATACAGATAATGGGACCAGCAGTTAGCATAATGGCTATGTCGCTAGACTCCCGTGTAGTCG